CCTCTGTAAATTTTAATGATTATCGGTGGAAATATTTTTTCATTGGTTTGCATGTATATGTTGAAATCAATGTTTACTGACACTTATAAATGATTAAAGCCAAATCCTTCCAAACCTACCTATGTCCCGCTTCAGAACATGACAGTTGGTCTGCAGCTGCTTCCTTAAATCACCAGGGCTGGTCACATAGCAAGTGATGCATCTGCTGCTAGTCAAGTGGGGCAGTTATCCCTCTCAGGCCTTGATTTGTTGCTGCCTTTCCAACTTTTCATAGGCCTATATGTTCAGTCCCCACCCCCCCATTAACAGGATACTATAAAATCACATCTAATGGTCTCCGTGCTGACACATCTCCCTCCTTGCTACCAATTTTTTTTTAAATGACATCCCTGACTGGCAGCACCTCTTCCTTATAACACCCTCCCGATTTTATTGAAAGTTGAAAATGCTAAACTCTCATCTCCGCTACATTTCCTACGTGCTACAGAGTTTTGGTTATGGGGCACACCCTAAAATCAGCCAGAATTTCACACCATCCTCACAGATACTGTCCTTTATTTTGACAGCTGTTTCTACATCCTAACGTGCTGCTACGAGCAAGGGAATTAATAATATAAGGGTGCAACTCCTATTGATTTTTTGCAGGGAGGAACTACTAGCTGACATTGTTTTCTCTTCCAGCATGTGATATTGTGTGTAGGGTCATTAACATTGTTTTAGAGTCTTTGTGTGGATCTTTGTTTCCTCTTTGAAATACAAATAAATAAAATAAGGGAAATAATCCCTGAATGGTTCAAGCCAGTTGTAATAATTGTGAATTCATAAGATCTGGAAAACTATCTGAGGAGTGACGAAGCTGTCAAAATACTGCATTAACTATAGACTGCCTGGAGGTGGCACCATGGCTTTGGTGAAACAAACCTGCGTCTTGTCAAAGCAGCACATTAGGATGTTACTTACACTGATCGATTGAAGGAGAACGTTAGTCATAGATTTAGAAACTGAGTTACAGCAACCAGCGACAATGCATATACAGGAAGCAGTGATCTGATTGATTAGAGATCTGGGGACTGATCAGTCAGCCCAAACACTGCAGTTGGTGGAAGTTTCCATTGTATTAGGCTTGTATAAGTGGACTTTGCCCCTGCTAGACCCAAAACTATTTTTAATGACTCTGAAATCCTACAACAATTTAAAATCAAGTTCATTGTTTTTCTTCCCTCTACAGTTATTGGAGCAAGGTCTTTTGTTTCACAAGAACCTGACCGAGAACACTTTGGCTCCATTTACACAAGCAATTTGGCTTTTAGAACCTCTTGCTTTTAAAGAAGTTTCCAGCTTGCAGTGACAAGTCATGCCAAGGTACTCCAGATATTGGAGGATAAGGCCATAGGTAAGCTAACAAAAAAAAAAAAAAAGAACATTACTAATTAAGACTTTGTTTTCTCTTTCTGTGACTAAACTGAAAATAGTGTTTTAATTCTCATTAGGGATGAATATTCCTTTTCAGAAGGGTTTGTACTAGAGTATTATTAGCATAATCAAGCAACAGAATTCAAACTGCCACTGTCGTGAAGTGTGGGCCTGATGTGTTCCCTGGCATCGTGGTTTTGCAAACTTAGATTAAGTAAACGGTGGGCCAGATCCCCAGCGGATGTAAATTCTTGTCACTCCAGTGACTTCAATACAGCTTTTCCATATTTACACCTGCTGAAGATCCGCCCCATTCATTTAAATTGCAATGATCATTTTTAATTTGTAGAGAACATTTTATCTTTCTTTGACCACTGGCTGTTTATAGCACATTTGTCTTCATCTACGCATTGTTATGGAAATCAGATCTCTGGGTTGTTAGGTATGTCTGCATATCCTAATAATTGTATGCAGTGTTGTTGTAGCTGTGTAGATTCTCGGATATTAGAGACAAGGTGAGTGGGGTAATACCTTCTAAAGATGAGAGAAAACAGCTGTTGAGCACATACAGAGCTTTCTTTTCCTGAGCTCAAGCGTTTGTGTCTCTCACCAACAGAAGTTGGTCCCTTACCCGCCTTGTCTTTCTAATATTCCAAGAATTGCCATCCTTTTAGAATGAAATTTACAGCTTAAATTATACACTGTTGCATTAACAAGGGAGCAAGAGCCAAACGTTGACGTGGTTCTGACTGCTCCAAAGGCAACAGACCAACTGCTGGTAACTATTTTATTTCACTTTTTTCTACCTGTTTTACAGTAGTTCTTGCCATGACTTCCATGCAGTTACACAGGATTTGCAACTGGTGGAACTAGGAAAGCGACAAGACAGTGTCCAATGGGGCTGAGGCTCCCATCTTGCCTGCCAGCACACCGGTAAGGACCGCTCCTGCCCCAAACCTGGAACCTCGCTCCCCTCCAGACAGCCTGCAGGCCAGCAGGAAGGTGAGAGATCCCCCTGTAGCCCCCTGCTTTCAGCAGTGAGGCTTCACCCATCCTAGACATAGCAGCAGGCCTGGGCCTACTCCAGAAACACTCTGGGGCACTGTCCCCTCTATGCCAGGTGCTCCTGGCGTGGGTCAAGGCTGGAGTCCAGAGGCAAGGAATCTGGGTGCAGGGGGCTCTAGATGCAGGGGGCTCTAGATGCAGGGGTTGAGTGGGGTAGGGTTCGGGTCTGGAGGGCTGGGGAGGTTCTGGATATACCAGATGTGGTTTGGCAGGGAGGTCTGGATGCATGGGGGTTGGGTGGATGGGGAGCAGCTCCCCATACAGTGACCTCTTTCCCCCCCACTTCCCCTCCCCAAAAAAGTTTAGGAGCAAAGGGGGCAGGAAGCAGGGGAGGATGCTGAGCTTCCTGCAGCTGGGGATGGTTTCTGGGGGTGGATCTGACACCACCCCAGTCACTCCTTGTAGGGGAAGAGGAAGTCCTGTCCTGTCCTGGTTCCAGCCCAGATGGGACTAGCAGCTGATCTCAACTAAGGATAGGAGTTATGGTGTCCCCAGCCCTACCATGATTTACCCCTCTACCGGCTACCCTAGGTGCTTGAAACAATGTACCTGCACTGCTAGAGAGAGCTACATGACTGCTCTTGCAGCTTCCCTGTTAGAACATTTTTCTGCGGTGAAGCAAAGAAATCAGCGGGGGGACATGAATTCTGCACACACAGTGCAGAATTTCTCTAGAACTAATCTTACTTCACCTCTTGTAAGGAAGGTTGCCACATCTGAGGTGAAAGTCAAATGCAAAAACCTTAATGGGAACAAATCATGGGGGCCAGATAGTATTAGAATATTTCAGGATGTTCAAGAATATTAAAGGAACCTGCACATGAATTTGCACGCCCAATAACAAGGGTTTGAAACAAATCTGTAAAATTAAGGATCACACTGCATGAGTGGAGAATTGCAAATTAGGGATATTAGGTATCATATAGTTGAATAATCGTGTACCCACATGAAATCTTAGCAGTTACACAACTATTTGATATTCCCCGGGGGTGGGGCTAGCAGCCAGTGCGCTCCCAGCCCCACTCCTGGGGAGTCCCCTGCCACCTCGTGCTGCTGCTCTTTATCAGACACAGCAGCACAGGGTGGCAGGTGGGAGCCGGTCCATGAGGGAAGCCAATTTAAAAACCAGCTCCTCATGCAGACTGGCTGGAGGCAGCAGTGTGGGGTGGCTGCAGCTCCTGTTCTTAGAGGGTCCGAGCTCCCCATGGACGGAGGCTGCTCCATGGGATGCAGAGTAGCTTCTGTCTGCGGGGAGCTTAGACCCTCGCCCCCCCCCCCCCCATAGACAGGGGCTGCTGCATGGCAGCCTCTCTTGCCCTCTGATGCAGGGAAAGGGAAGCAATGGCAGACTCCTTATCACCATTACAGGCCAAAGAAGGAAGAAGGCACCTCCTAGCTCCTCTGAGACCAAAGGCCTGAGAAGTGAGCCTGTGGCTTACCCAGCAAAGCAGGCAGCGGAAGGGGGAATCAGAGGGTCTAGACTGGGAGATTCCCCCACATACCTATTGAAATCCTGTTGTCTGCAAGGAAAACCCCTCGAGCTGGCGGGTCTGCAATGGTGGGACGAACAGAGCTTGGCTCTTGGAGCCCAGTCTTAAGTTTGCAGCGTTGTCCACCAGAAAACCTTACTTGGACTTGTATAAAAAGAGCCTATTGGATCTGACCGTCACTCAGTGGGAACGAGCTTGCCACTATATTTTCAGAGTAAAGCCACACTGCAAACCTTGGTGAGTAAAAGCACATTCATTAGCATACATCGTGGCAGATGTGCCAGGGATGTCATGGGAGGGGAGGCAAGACCGTTTTTCCATTGAGACTAGAGCTTAATAGAAAGATATGCTAAGAAAATGTTTGTGCCCCCGTCTACTATAGTATTTTAGGAGTAAAACTAATGCAGATTAAATCAGTTCAAGTCGGTCTGTCCAAACCCATACACAGGGGCTATTAAAAAGTTAAACCGTTCCAACCATTACCACATAGCTCCATACATCAGAAATACCGTGAGCTACTGCAGTTATTTCCTGCCCCGAGTGTAGGGATGCGGCATCTGAGATACCACCCGTAGTAACTGTTGATAAAGGTCAACATTTGCCAACAGCTACTAATGTAATTGAATGTAATTTAATTTAAATTTTATAAATGTATAAATATGTTTATAATTATATAATTTATAAATGTATTTAATTTCAAATAATTAAATTTAATTAAATCTGTGGGTGTGAGAAAGGTGTACAGGAAAGTTTAGTTGGATCCTTCTGGGGAAAAGGCACTTGATAAATGTAAGACTGGATTAGTAGTACTCTGTGCTGACTTAGAACATGTCCAGTAGTGCATATTTTCAGCAAATGGCAGATTTGATCATAATAGTCCCTAGGAATATTCTATGTAAAGCTGGTGGGTTCTGGGGTCTTTATAGAAATGGGAAAACCACTCCCTCAGCCTGGGGTGCATAGTTTCATGCTTGCTGTGCAGCAATGAGTAGTATTGTCTCCCCTTGCTTTAATCCAGCTTATTCTCAACTTCCCCCTCTCCCTCAGAGCAGCAGCAGTAGCTGCTGCAACTCTGGCAGATCATCTGGGAAAGCACGGAAAGTGAAAAGAACTTGGCTATCATCTTAACTTTTTTCAAGGGATTAATTTCACCTGCGTTTCCTGTTTGCCCTGTAGATGCTGGTTCTTTTTAATTCAAGATGTGGGAAGTTATTTCAAGTTTAAAACCACACGGAAATGCTTTTTTGGTCTGGGCTTTCTCCCCCCTCTGTTTTTTTTTTCTCTTTTTGACAAGTAAGAAAATTGTGAAGTGAGCAGGAGAGAGAGCGAGAGGGAGAAGACGTTTTCATTCTTTTAGTGCAATGGACTGAGGCAAAAAGGCCATTATAATGGTAAATCGCACACAGAAAGGAAGAAAAGACTGATAATCAATCACAAATGAAGCATTCGTTCGGAATTTGGCAATTCCCTGACCAGTGGTTTTAAGCCTACAGCGTTTCCCCCCCACCCCTTTACTCCAATTTACGTCAAACACACAGGTTTGAAATATTAAGGGCAGGAAGAATAATTTGCAGAAAGTTATCATGCCAAGGAATACTTACAATGGGAAAGACACAATACTGAAAAGCCGGCAAGGGCTCAGTGAGCGCTGAGGGAAAAGCAACATGCTGAAATGCTGGCATGAAGACTTTTCAACACAGGATCCTGGACTTCAACTCAGAAGAGAAACTTGCTGTGTCAGAAGCCTCTCCCCAAACCACCGAGGGTCTCACATGCTTCAGGATGACTTATAGTGGACTTGGGGGAAGTTCAGCTTGTTCTGAATCTTCTGTGATTGTTTCGGTGGGACCTGCGGCTGAATGAGTATGTGGTGATAAAGATGAGGATGCTAGACAACGCTGCCCCTAGCATAGCCTCTTCAAGGTCTGGCATGACCTATAAGGAAAGATACATTTATCTGGAGGTGTTGCTTCAAGGAGGCGCTCCATGGGGATTCACTCTGAAAGGTGGACTTGAACACGGGGAACCATTAATCATCTCCAAGGTACTTGTGTGATTTAAATCAGGATGCTAACAAAAACGCCTGGTTTCCGGGGCAGTAAGTTGTAAAATATTGCCTCCTAGGTGGTGGAATTGTTCCTGTGTTTGGTCGGATCCTAGCAAATGCTGAGCACCCTCTAGCGCTGTTGAAATCCCTAGGTGCCCAGCACATCTTCTGGGTGATTGTAATGCCTGAAATCTATGGGCATTGTTCAGCTACCAAAATCACTTTCTTGTCCCAAAGGACAGGAACTATTGCTTTCAGAAAGAGACTCCATTTCTTTCATCATAGGCTTTTTTATTTTTAATGCAAGTGGGTGAATCTTCCTTTTGTGTGCTGCATCAGCCATCTTGTACCATGAAATCATAGCCCATCTGAGCGTGTTCAGTGAGCCATTACCTGCTTTTGTGAATTGATTATCAAGAAAACATTGTGGGTCACATGATATTGCTTCAGCTAATCAGAACTGAAAGAAAAAAAGTAGAAAAGTGTAGTAAATAGTTCTGGGTATGTCTGTGTATAAATATGCATACATGGATGTGATTATACACCCCGAGTATGCAGATATGTAGTTAGCAATTTTAGAAAACTTGTTCCAGCATTTTTTTATTTATTACATTCCTATGAAAAATGTGGTACTGCTGGAATTCAATTACTATTATTCAGGAATGCAACATTTTGCCTACAGGAAACTGAGCATAGGTGGCAAATATATTTAGGGTAAATTTTTAGAAGCACTTGGGTCTCATTTTCAAAAGGAACTTGCACCTTTAGAAGCCTAAATCCCAATGAAAGTCAATAGGTCTTGGCTCATGAGAGACACATTTTAAAAGTATTTAGGCACCTGAAGATTTAGATGGGTGCCTCATGAGATTTTAAAAAGAGAAAATACCCTTAGGCAACTATCTGACTCTTTAGGTGCCTACATACTTTTAAAAATCCATCCCTTAGGGCTTAAGTCCTATTTGTGCTCAGTGAGGCAGACTTGCAAGTGCCTAAATCACTTTTGAAAATGGGACTTAAATGCATTTGAAAAGTGTATCCTTAGTTGTTCTCAGCTTTCTGCTAGGCTAATGGCAATAGCATGTGTACATGTACATACATCATGTATGGAATGGATCTTTCATGTCTGTGTTTTTGAGTTTGTGTGCATGTGTGTAATCTAATTTATTTATATAGGATCGGGCTTGTGGATTCTAGAAACGTAGAGGATCAGAACCAATGGTAGCTAAAAGAAAATTGGTACTCTGGATGTATTCCATTTGGGTGTGATCCTGCAGCTTTCATTCGCATGAATGATCCTTACCCAGATGAGTAGCTCTGTTGAAATCAGTGAGTTCCTGTCAATGCATCTCCCCTTTAGTCACGTGAGCAAGGATTGCAGGTTGGGGACTATCACATAAATCTTCCCAATTTGAATGTTTCTTAGCTTTAAATAAATATCCCCCTCTTTCCTGTAGGGCAATGCTAAATAGAAACAACTTGGCACAGAACCATAAAGCAAAACATCACATCACCGAGTCAGTAGGTTGTATTTCACTTTTTGCATGTTGGGGACTAATAATTTTCAGCTTTGTGCATGAGATCATTTTTATTGTTGTGGTGAAACCAGGTTTTGCTTTTAATCCCGAAATAGCTGCCCACAACATCCAAAGTTCAATAACTTTTCTTAAATGAGACAGAGATGGCTCTAGCTGTGGAGCATTAATGAGTCTGTGGGATTTGGTTGTCTCAGCAACCAGCTCTCTGAATGTCAAGCATGTCTGGAGTGTGCATGAAGCCGCTGGCAGCTGTATGACTTGTGCCTTCCTTCCCTAAAACAACACTGCAAAAATTTGTATTTTGTTTTTTTAACTTGTAGCTACAACCTCACTTGCGCTGACATAAATTTTTGTGTGCGTCTGTTCATGCCTCCGTGACATAGATGCTTGCTTGCCAGCTTCCGTGTGAATATTTTACTCTCTCTGGAAAGTGTTCAAAACATGGTTTGTTTGTTTTTGTTTTTAGTTTTTGCTTCCAGTTGCAGCTGAAAACCAGTCAGGTTGTATAAATTAATAACTTTGAGCTGTGTAACATAATTGTTCATAATTCACTCTGAAAAGCAGACAGAGAATTCACGTTAGTTACCTAGAGAGCCTTTGGATCTATACTGTATTATACTGTAGAGCTATTAGGAAACAATAAATAAAAACATATAGGTTAAATCCTGACCTAACTTACTCACATAAGAAGTTCCCATTGAAATGAATGGGACCACTTATGTAAATGTAGCAAGTAGGGCTATATTTACACTGCACTGTTGTTCGAAATAAGATACGCAAATTGCATATCATATTTTGAAATAGCTTATTTCATAATTTGGCGCTGTCTACACAGCACCAAATTTTGAAATAACCCCCTGTTCCGAAACGTCCCTTACTCCTCGTGGAATGAGGTTTACAGGGACATGGGAATAGCGAGCCTGAAATAACGGGCTTGCTGTTAAAGACACGGGACAGATATTTTGGGATACTCGGGTATCCCGAAATAGCGTTGCAATGTAGACATGGTGTAGACATGGAGCAGTATTTAGTCTAGCAGTAAAAATTAGAGAAAAGTGGACATAGAGGCAGGTTAAGCGCTTAAACGAATGATAATTCAGAATTAAGGCCTCATTTGCATTTACACAGTGGCCTCTTTATACTCCTTTGGCAAGTAAGTTATGTTTAGACCCACATTACGGTCTCTTGACATTGCCAGGGTGATGCAAACTGGCCTTAGTGTAAGGCCTTAGTGTAAATGAGAATCTGGACTTGCGCAACTATGTAAGTCAAAGTTTATGAAAGTTTGCAGAGTAATTTTACCATCTATTGTTATATGTTATCTTATCCACATTTAACACAGGTAGGGTGTCATGAAATTCATGGCAATTGGCAAGTCCACTCACGTGATGCTTGCCTCTCTCTTTTCGTGCAGTCTTTTGCTGCTTCTGTTATGTATTTCCATGCTATCTTTCATCTACCATGTTGCCTCTTGCTTAGAAGGTTTCAGTCCCAGACTTACCTTTTTATGTTGCTGAGTTTTTCCTCCATGTGTGTCTGACCCATGTTATAAGAACTTGAGAATGGCCATACTGGGTAAGACCAAAGGTCCATCCAGCCCAGTATCCCGTCTGCCGACAGTGGTCAATACCTGATGCCCCAGAGGGGGGGGGAATACAACAGGTAACCCTCATGTGATCCCTCTCCTGTCACCCATTTCCAGACAAAAAAAGTCAATGCTCTACCGACTGAGCTAGCCAGGCTCACATGTCCATTTTTGTTCTGTAATTTCCCATCCTATTGCTTTCTCTTTTGTCCTCCTTCAGAGTTCTTTATGATTTTTTTTTCATGGCCATCTGATCAGGGTGGATTGATTTAAAATCAATGTCTTTTAAATCACCCAAGAAACAAATAATTGATTTAAATAGTTTCCCACTGATACATCTTCATATATTTCTTAATCAATGTGCAAATCTGATCACTAAAACATATTAATTTACAACTCTGTACAGAATGTTACAACATCTAAGAGGATATACTTTGTGTAATTATTTTAGATAATTTGATTCTTATTACTTTAGGAAATAGCACATAATACTCATTGCCTGTGTTAGGCTGCAGATGCAGCAGCTGTACATTAGGAATAGTAAAAACTAAATCTCACACAAACACAATAACATGTATATTTTATTAAAATAAATCTTAAATGTCTCAGCAGGGTAGCCGTGTTAGTCTGTAACTTTAAAAACAACAAGTAGTCCTGTGGCACCTTAAGCTACGTCTAGACTACAAGTCTCTTTGGAAGGAGGCTTTTTCGAAAGAATCTTTCAAAAAAGCTTTTTTCAAAAGAGATCGTCTAGACAGCAACCAGTATTTTCAAAAAAGAGAGCCGCTTTTTCGAAAGAGAGCACCCAGGCAGTCTGGATGCTCTCTGTTGAAAAAACACTGTTTGCGTTCAATAATGCCTTTTTTCAAAAGAGATCGTCTAGACAGCAACCAGTATTTTCAAAAAAGAGAGCCGCTTTTTCGAAAGAGAGCACCCAGGCAGTCTGGATGCTCTCTGTTGAAAAAACACTGTTTGCGTTCAATAATGCCTTTTTTCAAAAGAGATCGTCTAGACAGCAACCAGTATTTTCAAAAAAGAGAGCCGCTTTTTCGAAAGAGAGCACCCAGGCAGTCTGGATGCTCTCTGTTGAAAAAACACTGTTTGCGTTCAATAATGCCTTTTTTCAAAAGAGATCGTCTAGACAGCAACCAGTATTTTCAAAAAAGAGAGCCGCTTTTTCGAAAGAGAGCACCCAGGCAGTCTGGATGCTCTCTGTTGAAAAAACACTGTTTGCGTTCAATAATGCCTTTTTTCAAAAGAGCACTTTCAAAAAAAGGCGTTATTCCTCATAAAATGAGGTTTTCCGCGGTTGAAAAAACTGCCGCGTTCTTTCGATTTAATTTCGAAAGAATGCAGTAGCAGTCTAGATGCAGGTGAAGTTTTTTTGAAAAAAGGCCACTTTTTTTCGAAAAAAAGTGGCCTTTTTTCAAAAAAACTTCACCTGCATCTAGACTGCTACTGCATTCTTTCGAAATTAAATCGAAAGAACGCGGCAGTTTTTTCAACCGCGGAAAACCTCATTTTATGAGGAATAACGCCTTTTTTTGAAAGTGCTCTTTTGAAAAAAGCTTTTTTGAAAGATTCTTTCGAAAAAGCCTCCTTCCAAAGAGACTTGTAGTCTAGACGTAGCTTAAGGTGCCACAGGACTACGTTGTAGCAGTCTTCTGAGTTGCAAGCCAATGGCTGTCTTTAAACTTTCTTCTAGTTTTCAGATGTTATTAACTCTCACAGACAAGTCCTCAGAACACTAAATGTACAGTGTCCTTAAAACTTCTACAACTGTCTCTTATCTTCCCCACTCCCACTGTCAGTTTGATTCAGGCACTAAAACAGAAATTAGAGTTTTCCTGCTTTTTCAACTCCGAGTCAATTTCTTA